GGTTCTTCGGCTGCTGTTCTCTTTGATGCTCTTTTAGCAGTCATAACTCCGCCCCAGTATAACGAAACAAATATCAACCAATGTTTTCTTTAAAAGAAAAGTCAGCAATAAATGAGAACTTGGTAGAAAAAAAAACACGCTTAAATATTATGAGAGAACAAGATAAAAAATAAAGCATATCTTTGAGTAGATTTATTCACGAAAGTGAACGAAATATCTACCAAAAGAATATTCTGCAGACAAGATGTCAAAACAAATGAAACAACGTTTAACTATAAATATGTGATCTACTCATAAACAACTTTCTGATAAGCTCACTAATTGGATGCAGGCTTCGACGGCTCTTCGAGAGGCACCTACAAATTAGATTACCATCAAAGAAAATGATAAGACAATTAAGTGATTTGAGTTCAGAAAATGTTAGGTTTGACTCATAAAAAGACTAACCAGAGCAAAGTGTTGCGGATAGGAATGTGCACTATTACAAATGACTTACACTGGGACGATTGTTGGGGTCGAATGGACTAGGAAGTTGGAGATCTGACTTCGCTTCGAAAAATGTATAGCTCAATAGAATATTATCCAGGTATTCCAAAGCAGGATCATTAGCATAGTCAGGGTCGATATAAAAGAAAACAGGCAAATCAACCTAAAACGCTCTTTTCAACGAATCCAAACGGTAGACATATTAACGAAAAAAGGATTGATGAAATTTTAAGATATGCAGCAATTTTTTACAGCGATTTTGAGCGGTGTGTTGAACCTCTGCTTTGCTTTCTCCAAAAACCCTTTTCAACAGCACCTCCGTGCAGAAAGAAACTTTCTTCAACAAATCCCGATGATAAATAGTATTGAGAGTAAATGCAGTGAAATTCAGATAAAGACTGCGAACAATCATACCTGCTCTCCGGGGTTCAGTATTTGCTCTTCAAAACAAAAACACTGAATTTTATTAAAATAATAAGCAGCTTGGAACGGTGTCAGATTATAGCTTGAAATCCCAACAATAGGTCGGTCAGTTGGGTTTCTAGCAGTGTAAAAGGCTAAAGCTGTTTCGCCTGGGTGCACGTACATCTGGAATGAAAGATATAAAGAATCAGAGAATCACCACCATTATCAAGATCA